AAATTTAAAAAAAAAAAAAAACCACCAGCAAATCTTTTTCTTCTACACCTAGTTGGCATGCATTTGAATCCATTCTGATTGTGATGCTTATATCAAATACTCCTTAGAATGACAGAAGTAATGTCTGCTCAGTACTTCAATATTATTAAACAAGTGTAAATCTTATGTCCTTATACAGTTAAAATATGAATGTTTCAAATTGTACCTTAGAATTCATACTCCTGGAATGGATCAAAATTGAAAGAAATAGCTTATTTTCATATCTACTGAAAATAAAGTAGATTATAAAATCAGATGTCTKCCAGGTTTCACATCAGGATCCATGAGTACTTCTTGCTTGAAGAATGAAGGCAACCTCTGCTATTCTAACTAAGTAGCATCCAGTGTCCTTCAATAGCCAAGATCCAAGTCCAGAAAGTGGAGAATAAATAGCCAAATGCATTTGAAGCACTTAGGGTTTTCTTTACAGTGGTTATATGGAGAATTATTTGTGCTATAAAAAGTGCTGAGAAGACTTTTGGAGACAAACTGCAAATGCAAGCAATTGTGTCTCCCATACTTTCAYTTCTTATTTGCAACCAACGCCTGGACAAAATGTAGCTAGGAAAACAGACCCCTTATAGACTGAGGGATTCCACTGATTTGCCTCTTGAAACATCCCCAAAGTGCCTTTCACATACCTACCTAAAAGTCTTTGTCACCTTGACCTCTTCCTTCTGCTAGCCTTCAGATATGTTCTATCCATCAGTTGTGGTGTTCCTATACATTAAAGAGACTCGGTCATTGCTCCCCATAACAAGGAGGACTCTGACATTCTGCAGCAGCTGTAGCAGCAGCATGCTGGCCACAACATACCAGTGTGCTGCGTACCCTGCTCGTGCTTTCTGTTGAAGATGTTTCATTTCAAGTCCTTAAATCATACCTCCTCAGCTTAGTAATTACTAATACTGCAAACTTGGAAAATGTTTAGAATTTGAAACCACATGTATTTTAAGATATCTAAAGGAAAAGSAACGTTTTTCAGTCTGGATAGGTGAACAAGGCTGTTTTACATGTTGTGATGCAAGCTTGGCTAGAAGCACAGTGCCAAATGCACCAATTGCTCTTTGAACCACCTCTTCCAGTGAGATGTGATAATGTGCTGCTGCCTTGCTCTCTGAGGGCTGTGTATTCACTACAATGTTTGCTTAACCATACCAGCTTCCTACATTGCCTTGAGGTACTGGCAGAAGAGAAACAATTAGACAACATTATGTACCACAAGTCCCATGCTGTTTTCCTAATGTATAGCTTCCCACCAAGAACAAATCAATTATCCATCAGAGTCCAGACTAGACCTTACCTCAGTCATTAAAACCATTGGATTAGGAGCAGCTGTCTCATATGTCAATGTAATATGCTCCTTTTGTTAGAGCCCAGGAGTAAAGCCGATATGGACTTTGTTGCTAAAATTGTTCCTTGTTCTAAGAATGTTCTTAGCTCTTTTCTACTACTTTGAGGAACTGGTTCTTGCACTTGAATATAAATTTCCCAAAAACTATAACTGAAGGATGATTGTAGGATAGTCTGACTTCTCATAGCTCTGTAGTAGCTATAAACTGCACTAATCCCTCTTGCATTTTGTCCAGCATCTTGGTTCTGCTTCAGAATAAAATGCACTTCCTTAAGCTACAGGCAGCTGAGCAATTGGCAAAGATACTTCACAGCCCCCTGCCAATTGTTGGGAGCAAGCAGCAAATATTTTCCAAAGCACACAAACCAATCAGATACAATATGTGGTTATAGTAGTGTTTTAGTGTTAAAGCACTTTTTTTTTGGCCTTAACAGCTTTTATATCTCATATCACCTTCCACAGTACTTGAAAAATGGCAGCTATTTAAGCCTGTAAGATTCAGGTCAGTGTTGTAGGCTAACACTTTCAGATGGCAAATCTTATGTCTTTATTGGCAAAGTAAGTTTTTTTTCAACCCACTTAACCAAAGAAAAGATGCTCCTTGGTGATGACTCCCTGTATTAACACTTTAACTTCTTTTATTTTCCTCCTTGTAAGTACTGAGCCTTTGTTTCAATATATTTATTATGGGTTGAAAAGAAAAAAATAATACAATGTCTTTGGACAATTGCTTGTAATTTTGCAGATGAAAACSAACAGTATGAACACAGCCTGTCTTAACTGAGCCACTGTGTTCAGGGATAAGAAAAAGGCTAAGAAAAAGGATGCCATCTTCAGCTGAAACGGTGGTGCTTTGTTCCCAAGCTCTTGTGCCAGAATGAGTGCAGCCACAGCGTTTAAATAAATCAGCAGGTTTACAACAATATTTTGCTCAAGAGGAAATATTTTTGCTTAAACCTCAGCATAATGTAGGTGCATGCTAGGGCATTTTAAAGAATGTCAGTACCCATGTGTTACGATCTGGTTTAAGCACAGGAGAGCAGAGGAAGCTAAGTCTCTGCAAATAAAGCCGATCAAACCCCGAAAAGTTTGAAATATACCCAAAAAAAGGTGATTAAAACCAAAGGAGGTTGGATGTTGGTGCCAAAAAAAAAAAAAAAAAAAAAAAAAAAAAAAAAAAAAAAAAAAGATATATTTTGTTTAATAGTAAAAAGAGGCAAAAAGAAAGAGAAGAGAAAGAAATTGAAAAAGAGTGTGCATGGGGGAGTGCA